AAGGCAGGTAATGTTACGCTAACCTCATTTTACAAGTAAAGAAAACTGAGACTCAGAGAATTTAAACCATTTGCTAGAGGATCCTTACATAAGCCTCAAACATAGGCCGGCTGAGGAACTCCAAGTCCAGTGCTTGTTTTGTTACTGAAATTTACTGTCAATTACATGTTGGCTTCAATATAGCTTTGAAACATTTCTTTTCTTACCCTGTATAATCTGGTCTAAGTCTGAACTTTACTAAGTGTACTGAGCTCATGAAAGCATTATGTTCATGCTTGTGTGTGATATAGTAACTTATGTTTCTAATATAATAAGTTTATAATATAAACATATTTTCTAAAAATATTTATCTAAGACTGTCAAAAGGATACCCAATTTTGAATGATCAAGAACAGTTTCTAATTATAACAAAAATCCTACTTAAATCCCAAAAGGATAAAAAAAAAAGATGCCTAAGTTGGCAGTCTGTTAAGTTGTAATCGCCTTCTCCTTGCTTACATCCACTTAATGGCACAGACAGTATCATTGCCTTTCTGTCTTTAATTCCTCGGAATCTCCCTACCCAAATGCACTGCCATTACTAAAGCGCAGAATGATCTCACTTAGTAAACCAGCTTCTTGCCCTTTCATTAGGCCCTAATCTAAATTACGGTATAAAGACATAAGGTTCTGTACTCATGACTGGCTCCTGATAAAGGGCACTGGCTTGCCATGTGGCCTGATGAAGTCCTAGGACACAGAAGGATCTTTTTTGGATTTTATCAGTCAATTTATGTTGAGCCAGAAAAATAAAATATAATCTTTGGCCATCTGGTTCTGTAACACTCTGTATTTGTTTAGAAAGGTCATTGTTGTCAAGTTATTGAATGTTATCTCTGGAATTGACAGGAAGAGAGAAGTTTTTGAAAGCAGGCCAGGAATATTAAAGCACCGGATATTAAGGTGTAAAGTAGTAGTTAAAAGGTTGGGCTTTTAGTGTTAAACAAACTACTGTTCAAATCCCAACTCCATTACCTACTAGTAAGAAGTTATCTTGGGCAAGTCAGCAGCTTACTATTTTTCTCACTGATAAAACATAGATAATGCCACTCTAGAAAGACAGTGCCTCTATAAAATGATACAACACATACATATCACTAGCTTATAGTTACCATTCAAAACCTATTCTATAATTATTATGTGTAATTTGTGCCCTCAATTTAATTATGAACAAAGTTAAAATTTTCATTACTTTCATAAATACTTCTCCAGACAGAAGAGTAAAATTTAAACAGGCTCACAATTTATGCTAAGCATATCTAACATGTGGGTTTAGAGCCTGTATCTAACAAAACCTTCAGTCCATCTTAAGCATTTAAGCAACATTCCTTCTTTCTTCATGAGTTTTATAGCATGTATTACTTTGTTGGTGGAATGACTGGTTTGCTGTGTCACTGAAGAATGAAGACTAAGCAATATCAAATCCATAACTATTTCAGTGGAACTAGTACTGCTATTACTAGACAATATACAATATCCTCATGATGTTATGCAATAGTTATTTTCTTTGCATTAGGTAGTTTTCAATTACTGTTTCACAGCAGTACTACCATCCAGCTATTGCAGTAACGAGATGATTCATAATTGATTCAGACAGGCTACTTAGGCCCTTTCCCTTTGTGAGATTAGCAATGTAGTTAAAAATATACAAATAATTAAAACAAATATTTTAAAAAGCAGCTCAATCAAAACTCCATCCAGAATATAGCCAAAGAGCAATGTTTGCAATTCAGTAGGCCAGATTTCAGGATCTCAAAGGTGGGCACATACTTCACCTGCACTTTGACAGGATTGGTCATCAGGATGTGTTGAACTGAATTATCCCCACACATGACTGGTTTCCCCAAAAATCAAAGTAGCACTAAAGACAGAGCAAAAGCCAGTCTCAGGCTGGGAAAGAACATTTTCATATGTTTTCTACTTCAAGAATTAGCTGCTACACATTTCCCTGTTTGGAGTTAAGAATAAAAAAATAAATTAAATAAATAGAATAAAAGGCACACATCTTTCATATGAACCACTGGGTGGGTTCTCTGCTTTCTCCATAATACTGACTTAGGAGATCTGCGAGTAACTAAAAATAAATTTCATCTTATATGCATACATGCATGGCCCATGGACATAAACAAAAATATGGTGAAGGCCTGGGGTGAGGAAGGAGCTGGGTGGCAAATGTAAGAGAAATATAAAAACTGGAGTAAAGCATAAAATATAGAATAGTTGTTCCCAATGTTAGCATGGAGGCTGTGTGGAAACATACATTGCTGAGTCCCATCCCCATGGAGTCTGATTCAGTAAGAATGGGCTAAAGCCAAGAATTTTGCATGCTGAGAAATTCCTACATAATGCTGGTGCTACCGGTCTGGGAATCGCACTTTGAGAGCCACTCCTTCTCAATTGTCTAAATTTTTAAAATACATTAAGAAACAAAATGTAAACTGGAAATTATTTGTTATGAATGTAGATTTATGAAAGACTTGGAGTTCCAATTAGCAAATCTATATACTACGAGGAAAGGCCTTGGTCCTAATAAAAGGATAGTTAATTGATGTGTTAGTGAATCAAACATATCAGAAGATATCTCCTGTCAAATATTCAAATATGGTTCATAAAAGTACCACTAGAGCCCTCACTGGGTGGCTCAGTTGATTGCAGTATTGTGCCATGCACCGAAAGATTGTGGGTTTGATTTCAGGCCAGGGCACATACCTTGGTTGCAGGTTCCATCCCCAGTTGGGGAGCTTATGGGAGGCAACAGATCAATGTTTCTCTCTCTCTCTTCATCTCTCTCTCTCTCTCTCTCTCTCTCTCTCTCTCTCTCTCTCTCTCTCTGTCTCCCAGTTGGGGAGCTTATGGGAGGCAACAGATCAATGTTTCTCTCTCTCTCTTCATCTCTCTCTTCATCTCTCTCTTCATCTCTCTCTCTCTCTCTCTCTCTCTCTCTCTCTCTCTCTCTCTCTCTCTCTCTGTCTTTTTCTCTACCTCCCTCTCTCCTTCCTTCCCTCCCTCTCTCCTTCTCTCTCTAAATATCAATGAAAACATATCCTAGAGTGAGGATTAAAAAAAAAAGTACCACTGAGTTTGAAATGCCCTTCACCTTCACTATTTGAAGGAAGGAAATTCTAATGTGACAGGCTCCTTGGTTAAAAGGCTTCCCAAAAAACACAAGCTCACAATATTAATGAAGCCTTAAAAATAAAAGGTATCATTATATTCCATTTACAGATGAAATTTCTGCCTAAGAGGGGATAAGACACATCAAAAGGTAAATCAACCAACAAGTGCAGAGTCAAAACTTTAATACAGATTCAAAGTGTTTCTTTTTTTGTTTCAACCTTACAATACTACCGTATAGTCTTTAAAAGAGTCAGAGAGGTTAGAAGCAACACTGAGATCCTAATTCAATCTAAGCGTATGCAAAACAGAAAATGCTGAAATATATACAGCTGTGAGAACTAAATGGATTATAAGCATTATATCTGTTAGTCTTGAACATAATCATAAACATCACCTATAAACTGTACATACTATTAAATGCCTAGACAGGATCATCAAATATAGGGCACTAGAAGGTAGCTGGTCTACCAGCATTTAGCATAGTCTTTGGCAGCACAACTCCACTTAGCAAGACATTTGTGGAGATTGGCTGACAGCAAGGTTCACGAGCAGATGCTGCATGGAAACCACCATATTCAGAGAGAGTTGAAGAACACATTAGGTATACACTGAAGTCATACACTCAAAGATGTGGCATTTATCGGCTGCTTGGAAACCAGAGCCGATAAGCCAGCCCAGAGACAGCAATCACCATTATGATGATGCTATTAAGGCAAGTTTACCCTTAAAAAAGAAAACACAAACATTGGCCCCAAATGGTGTTCTAGTGTTTGAGGTCAGGGAGCAGTGTGAAGACTTGCAATAATTACAGGAAACCTCCTAAAATAACTATTCTGTTTCTTAAGAAAGGGAAAAATAAGTAAACAAAACAAAGGCCTTACATGTTAGCAGTAAGTTAAAAACCCAGGAATGATTAGGATGGCCAATATATATATTTTTTATTTCTTAAAAAACAAAATAACAAGTGTTGGTAAGGCTCTGGAGAAATTAGAACCCTTGTGTGCTGTTGGTCTTACCAATGTAAAATGGTGCAGCTATTATAAAAAATAGTATGGAAGTTCCTAAAAAAATTAAAAACAGAATTGCTATACAATCTAGCAATCCCATTTCTGGACATACTAGTAGTATATCCCAGAAAAATTAAAAGCAAGATTTCTAAGAGATATTTGTACACCCATGATCAATGTGGCATTATTCACAATAGCCAAGAGGTGAAAGCAACCTAAATGCCCATCGGTGGATGAATAAAGAAAATGTAGTATACAAATACAATTGAACATAACTCAGCCTAAAAAAAAAAAAAAAAAAAAAGGGAATCTGTCATACGCTACAATATGGATAAACCTTGAGGACATTATGCTAAGTAAAATAAGACAGTCACAAAAACACTCACACTGCATGACTCTACTTACATAAAACATCTAAAGTAGTCAAACTCTTAGAAAGTAGAACAGTGATTACCAGAGGCCGAGGGAAAGGAGAAAAGAGAGTTATTCTTCAAAGGGTAGAGAGTTTCAGTTTGTAAGATGAAAAAGTTCTAGGGATCTGTATGCATATAGTTAACTCTATTGTACTGCACACTTAACAGTTAATAAGGTTTTAAAAAACTAAGAATAAAAATGTCTTGAAAACTCTAGTAAGGTTAATAGAAGTGTTGGAGAGGTTTAATATCACTGAAGAAAAAACAGTTTTCACATGAGTAAATTTAATCTTTGTCATCTCTTAATAATACCAATTTCTATAATGGTTTCAATCTATGGTTTAAATTTATAATTGATAATGAAAAGGAGGTATACCATATCAGAACTGTTCAGAGGTCTTTTAAAAATCTTACTTATTCTCACCCAGAGAGATGCTCCCAGTTGAGTGAGTCATCATTACTGATGCAACTATGCTTTATTCTTCAACTGTCCTGGACTGAAAACAAATTGAGAATTTCGTTTTTAAATGACAGTTTAACTCATTTGTAAGAAAATTCATTTAAAACACTTTTAAATGAATATAATATGTATTAATATAACATATAATAATGGATATAATAAGGAAATTACATATATTGTTTGATATAAGTAAACTTTCTTCATACCAAAAAGCTAAAAATGGGTTGAAGTTTCTATGCATATAAGATCACATCTCCACTGGGCTGGGCACCTTTGGAGAACAGAACCAATAATATATGAAAAGGCAGATAAAAAAAATACTTCTCAAGACTTCTGAAATATCCTGCCCAGGACATTTCTCTTTTCAACAGCCCTTTTTTATGTGCATAACCTTTTTTCCCCATTATCTCCTCTATCCTCCAAAATCCTTTGTTCATCTTTCTCCCCCCACATTTTAGAGGAAGAAAATAACTAAATTTTCCATACTCAAATTTTAGAAACAAAATCAAAGGTATCTCTCATTTCTGTATACTGCTGTTTCATCTCCAGGGAAACAAAGCCACAATTTAAGAACTAGGGTTAATAAAATCTTTTTACACTGACTTGACTTTGGTGCATTTTTCTTATACCATATTTTTAAAATCTATTGAGAAGTGTCTAGTAGTACCATAAAATTAAGTCCTTAAGAGGCTCCATGAATCAAAATGTTCTACTGGTAAAAATTATATAAAGACATGATTTAATGTGAAAATTATACATTATAACGTCTCTAAGAGAATATTTCAGCTCTGTAATATCATATATCCCTTAATTCCTGACATTTTTGTGTTAGATATTTTCTAATGTACCTTTTTCATTTCTTGTTTCTGTCACTAATTTTTTTGTGTTATTTCCTTAAGTGAATGCCCTTGAATTTACAATTAGCATTTCAACCTAAAACATTCTAGTTTGAATTAATTCCTATGTAAATTTTTTTCCTGCAATATACCTCCATTCCCTTCCCTTTCTTTTTTTAATTATTATTGTCAAACAAACTATGTCTTTATATGTTATAAGCTCATCAACAAAGATTTATTATTACTGCTTCATGCAGTTGTCTTTTAAAACAGGAGAGAAAAAGTTACAAAGAAAAAAAAATGTATTTCCATGTGTATCTTTCATAATACTCACATTGTTACCTTTACTATTGCTCTTTATTTTCTCATGTGGATTAGAGTTTACTGTCTAGTATCCTTCTGTTTCAAACTGAAGGACTCTCCTTAATATTTCTTGTTGGGTCAGTCTGCAAGCAACAAATTCTCTTGATTTTCATTTATTTGTAAATGTCTTAATTTCTCCTTCATCTTTGAAGTTTAGCTAAATACGGAATTCCTGGTTGATAGTCTTTTTCTTTTAATACTCTGAAAATGTCTTCTAGCCTCCATGGTTTCTGATTAAGTTAGCTATTGATCTTATTGGGAATTCCTTTTACATGTTATTTTTTTCTTTCGGCTTTTAAAATTTCTTTCACTTTTGTAAATTTGACTATGATGTGTCTAACTGTGGATAGCACTATTTAACTTAAAGTACACTGAGTAATGTGTAGATTAATATTTTAAATTAAGTCTTCTGCCATTATTTCTTTTGGGACTTCAATTATGCATACGTTGACACACTTGATGACACCCCATAGATCTTGTTAAGCTCTGTTCATTTTTATTTTCTTACTATTCCTCACAATGGATAATCTCTAGTGAATTATCTTTAAATTGACAAATTATTTCATTTGTCAACTCCTATCTGTTAAGCCCAACTAGTAAATTTTCATTTCAGTTATTATACTTTTAAACTTCAGAATTTTCATATGGTACTTTTCCAATAATTTCTATGTTGATTGATATTCTCTTTAGCAAGACATCATTCTTATACCTTCCTTTAATTCTTTACATGATATCATTTAGTTCTTGGAACATATTTATAAAAACTGACTTAAAGTCTGTCTATTAAGCCCCGATCTGAGATCCCGATGGGACATTAATTCTTTTAGCAGATTTTTGTGGTTTTCTTTCCTGTGTATGTGGTATACTTTCCTATTTCTTGCATGTCTCAATTTTTTGTTCAAAACTGAACATTTTAGATAATGTATTTTAACAACTGTAGTGTCAAATTCTCCACACTGCCCCACCAAGATTTTTAACACCGATTTTGTTTTTATTGATGACACTACAAATAGTTTAGCACTTTCATGAGCTAATTTTGTAGATTCTGTGTTCCCTGTAGTGTGCTGGCCACTGAGCCCTCTACTAATTTTTTTTAAGTCCTATTTTTATTTTTAAGCCTGGCTTTTTAGGAGTCACACTAGGTCAGTATAACTTAGTGGTCAAACCAATGACTGGTTAGAGGATTTCCTTAAATGTTTGCCTGTATGTCTTCCATCATTTGCCCAAGGAATTTTTATGAGTAGTCACACCTTTGAAATTCAGTCAATTTATAAAACAGTCCTAGCTTTCTTTTCCTACTTACATAAAACCTCAGCCATAGGTGATCTCCTTCCCCAGGTCTTTCCTGGGCATGTGCACAGCTGTGCACATTGTGCAACCTTTTAGATCCCCAGGAATACTTTGGAGCTTTTCCAAATTCCCTAGGGTTGGCTAATTCTCCAAGATTTCCTTTTAAAATCCTGAGCAGACACTTGTTTGCCCCAACTGAAATCACAGCCTTAAGCAGGGGATATGTTGCCAACAGTTGCTATTGTTTCAGCAAAACCCTGATAGGCCTCTTCTTTTCCCAACTGGGCTGAGCTCTGAGTCAAATCAAATAGTCAACCACTCTCTGAGAATAGAGTTTTCCCAGGGAGCTGCAAGCTTGGACAACATATCAACTGTGCTTTGGAGCTGGTGTTTTTAATGAATATCCAAAAGTGGTCAGATCTCTCCACTGTCTGGTCTGTAATGCTGCCAGCTTTTGCTATATCACTAAGCTGGGGAAAGAGGAAAGATGGAAATCACTTCTAGTTAAAATGTCACAGGTTCCACTGTCTTCTCATGGTTCAGTAGTTTTCTCTTGGGCCATGGATTTTCAGTTCATTCTCTGGTTAACTGCCAGAATTCTGAAATGGTTGGTTGTAATTGTTTTGTCCATGTTTTTGTTGTTTGAGCAAATAAAAGGAGGCCCTCGTTCCACCAATGTGAAAGCCAATCAATCTCTGGAATTTTAAATCTATCTTCTTGTAGTTTTAAACACAAAAAGCATTTTAACAAAAAATTTGTTTAAAAAATTATACTTATAAATTTTTGGATCATTGATTCTTATCTCTAGTAGAAACATGAAAAAAAACCATATTTCAATATTTAAAGTTAAATAGTAGAGACTCTACTCTCTGAGAGGAAAAACTAAACTGCATGAGCAATGGCTCAATATATTCCCTGCTAATTAATATGTAAATGATCAAAAATAAGGTGACTCCTGGTCTTAGATCCACTTTCAGCCCCAAAAGACTTGCCCAAGTCTTTTCTGGATAACAGAAATAAGTGCAAGTGAGGAAGAAAGACTACTCCACCTTATCTTACCTGGCTGACCCAGGCCAAATCCAACAACTCTGACAGGGAGAAAAGAGTCACAAAAGACTGAGAGTGAGAAACTTAACGGAGAAGAGGAATCAGAGCCCTGAACATAGACAGCAACCCTATTGCCTGAGAATCAGTATGGAGAGATTGGTTTACCTCAGGTTCACCCAAGTATCAGCCAAACCCATGTAGTTGTGGTAGAATAAGGTGAGCTTCTGTAAAGGAAAAGAATTATTTATTACTATTATCCCTCTTCAATATTGCATGATATTTGCAAGCCATGGAATGACCAAAACTGTCAAAAGAGGACAAGCAAAGTAAATATCCTTTAGCAAAACTTTTGTTTTCAAGAACACTGTTATGCTTCTTTTGCTTTTTTTATTGTTGTGTAACAAACCACCCCAAAACTTACTGGCTCAAGAAAAATAACCATTTGTTTGTAATGCTGCAGGCTAAGCTGGGCTTACCTAGGCACTTCTGTTTCTCCTGCTGATGGTTACTCGTGATTACTTTCAGCTGGCAGGGGGGAGGTGGGCTCAGCTAGAGTACTAGGGTACCTAGGTTGCTATTTCCATGCAATCTCAGGGCCTCTCTGTCTCCATGTGACTTCTTTTCCAAATGTTGTCTCTGTGAAGGTAGCCAGATTTCTTACATGATGATTCAGGTCTCCCGAAACACTAAAGCCAAAACGACGTGGCCTTCTTAGGGCTTACATCCAGATCTGGAGGAGTTTAATTCTGTGGCATTCTGTTTTGTAAAATAAGCTACTGGCCCAGTCCCGATTGAAAGGAAAGGGACTTCACATGGGCATGAATATCCAGAGGTGTGATTCACTATAACCACCATCAATGCTACAGAACAGCAATTTTCAACTGGTATGCTGCAAAGATTTCTGAAACATGCAACACCTAACTAGTCAGGGGTACTGACCTCTTTTCCCTTAGATTGTCAAATTAAAAAAAAAAAAGACCACAATCAATATAACAATAGCTATCCAGTATGAATGCCCTGTCTTGAACCATAAATACATAGGTCATATAATACAGTTGCATCTTATTGGTCACATCACATAATAAGGTTGCATCTGATTAGCTAATTCTTGGTACTAGAAAAACTTATATACAAGTATAGGCAACTGATTTTTAAAAGTCACTTTGGAGCAAAAAAGGTAGGTAATTACTAGTTTTTTTTATCAATCAAAATTATACGTTTATTTTTATCAGATCTGCAAAAAATATATTTTTTGGTGTGCTGCAAAATTTTAGTAGTTTGTGTGTGCCATGAGATTTTTTTAAAAAAAGGTTAAAAATCACAGCTATAGGGAGCATTTGAGAGCTTGCTCCTAAGCATATATTATCAGGTAAACTTTTCCTCCCTCCCTCCCTCCCTTCCTCCCTCCTCCCTCCCTTCCTTCCTTTTTTAAATCACTGCTATAGAAAACTAAGACATTAAGGCCAACGTTCACATGAAATGGGAGCAATACAAAGAACTATAAAATGGTTAAAGCTAAATGAAGACTGGGCAATTATAGTCAAACTAGAGGCCCAGTACACGAAATTCGTGCACGGAGGGGGGGGGGTCCCTCAGCCTAGCCTGCACCCTCTCCAATCTGGGACCCCTCAGGCAGTCGGACATCCCTCTCGTAATCCAGGACCACTGGCTCCTAACTGTTCACCTGCCTGCCTGCCTGATCGCCCCTAACCACTCTGCCTGCCTGCCTGATCGCCCCTAACTGCTCTCCCCTGCCCACCTGATCGCCCCTAATTGCCACCGTGGCTTTTTCCGGAAAGGTGTCCAGAAGACATCTGGTCTAATTAGCATATTACCATTTTATTAGTATAGATTCCATTCTCTGTGCCTTCCCATACTGAGCGTCAATCTAGATTCAGTGAGAATCTTAAATATAGGTGGGAGAAAATATGAACCTGATTAATCACTTAAAAGCCATATGACCTTGGATAAGTCAATCATCCTCTCTAAGTTTCAGCTCCTCAGTTGTAAAATGGAAAAGTATACAGGCCCTGCTTATCTTAAAGGAAAACTGTATGGAACAAATAAGATAAGAAATGAGTAAAAAGCTTTGAAAACTAAACTGCTACACAAAAATAAGAAAGTATTATTTATCTAACAGATCCTAAGTATAGTCAACCTAAGTAGGCTCTATTCTCTCTATTAATCCTATCTAATAAAGAAGGAATATGCTAATTGACCCTCACACCATCACAAAGATGGCAGCACCCACAGCCAATAAGGAGGGAATATGCTAATTGACTACCATGCCCTCAAAGATGGCGGTGGCCACAACCACAAGATGACGGCGCCCAGTCCCCTCAGCCCCACCGGGGCAGCAGACAGGCCCAGCCTTGCCACACGCCTGTCTCCAGAGTCTCCCAGTCCCCTCAGCCCTCCAGTCGCTCAGAGCCAGCCCGAGGCGCAGGCAAGCCTTGGCTGTCAGCTGCCCAGCTCTCAAGGGCAGGCCCGAGGTGCAAGCAAGCCTCGGCTGTCGACTGCCCAGCCACGCAGGGCTGCCCGAGGCTCAGGTAACCAGGGCCGGCTGAGGCTTGTGCTGCCGGCAGTGGCAGCAGCAGAGGTGTGATGGGGGCATCACCTTCCCCTGATCGCTGGGTCGCCTCTTGCCCCTGAGGGCTCCCGGACTGTGAGAGGGGGCAGGCCGGGCTGAGGGACCTCCTTCCAGCATGAATTTTCATGCGCCGGGCCTCTAGTAAAATTATAATAACCATAGTTAATTACTCCATATGCTAAATTACTACCCACAGCAATGATATTATATAGCAGTGATGGCGAACCTTTTGAGCTCGGCATGTCAGCATTTTGAAAAACCCTAAGTTAACTCTGGTGCGTGTCACATATAGAAATTTTTTGATATCTGCAACCATAGTAAAACAAAGACTTATATTTTTGATATTTATTTTATATATTTAAATGCCATTAAACAAAGAAAAATCAACCAAAAAATGAGTTCGCGTGACACCTCTGACATGCGTGTCATAGGTTCACCAGCACTGTTATATAGTACAACAACAGGCTAAAAGTACCCTATGTTCTGTTACTATAAAGAATAAACACCAACACTAAATGTTTATTGTTTTCTGATTATATGTCAGGTGCTCTTAGATACTTCAGGTAAACTATAATCCTTACAATAAGTCAACAAGGTAGGTATTATCCCTCTTTTAAAAATAAATAAATCGAGTCAAAATACTGATTAGTTAAGTGAACTGCCCTGGTCACACAGCAGTAAATAGAGAAACCATTATGAATTTTTAATATATAATAGGTACTTAAACATTTGTTGTCTAAGTTAAAGAACAAATAAATAAAGCCAGGACTGTCTGACATTTAAAGAAAGGAGTCTTTCAACTATAGCTATTAAAATATCTCCCTCCCATAATTTCTATTTTATATGCAGCAATTGAAACTGTAATCACAGCAAACATATATAATTACATGAGCAATTCATCATCTTTCTCATCTGCAAAAATTGTTTCCCGTCTAAAAAGTATCTTCATTTTTTTAAAGGTCTAATCCTTAATCCATCTACCGAGTCATTATGAATTATAATGGTCATATTAAAACGTGGAAATACCAAGTGGAAAACAGTGATACCAACGTATCTCTAAAATAAAACAAAAACCAGCAAATATTTTTAAATGGCAAAATACGTGCATTCTGAATGACAAATAAAAGTTCACATCCTTATATTATGAAGAGATCTTAAAATTTAAAAGGAGGAGGAGGAACAAAAGAAACTGCCCAACAGGAAAATGGGCTAAAGATATAAATGGATAGTCAACAAAAAAATACAAATGGTTGATAAACATGCTTTTAATTTTTTTTAGTCATTCATTATTTAAAAATGCAAATCAAAGTGAGATTTTTATTCAACTATCAGATTGGCAAAAATACAAAAAAAAAAAAATTTACAAAGATTGATCATGTCCAGTGTCAGAGAGCATACAATGGTATGACCTTTCTAGAAATCAATCTGCTGGTTGATAAAAACATTCAAAACGTGCCCAGATCTTCTAGCCAGGGATTCCATTCCTAAGAATTCATATAAAGGAAATAAATACCTGCACAAAGATGCACATACAATTAATCATAATATCAATACAAGAGACCATCCTAAATGTTGAGAATTGCTTAAATTGATACATTCATATAATGCCAATAAAGAGATAGAAAATGTTATTACCATGAAAGGATGTTTAAGATATGATTGTCAAAGTTAAACAAATTTTATGACCCAATTTTTGTGTAAGGTTTGAATTTGTAAAGGAGAGCAAATGCATGAGCAGAAGCACAGCCGAGAGCACCAATGTGAGCACAGATGCACTCACTGCGACAGGAATCCTGAGGAAATGTGACAGTAATCTCGTGAGCAGATGTGTAGTCATCATCAAGCAGAATGATGATGGTATTTTTTTGCTTTTTGCTTTCTTTCTTTGTAACTTCCTGAATTTTCAGAATGTTTTACAATGAGCATATGTAATTTTTGTGATCATAATACAATAAAATTATTTTTATTTAAAACTAGAGGCCTGGTGAACGACATTCGGGCACTGGGGGGGCAGGTTCCCTCAGCCTGGCCTGCGCCCTCTCACAGTCCGGGACCCCTCGGGGGATGTCCTACTGCCGGTTTAGGCTCGCTCCCTCCACCACCACCGCTGTGCTCGCCAGCCGTGAGCCCGGCTCCTGTGGGAGCACGCTGACCACCACTGAGTGTCTGCCCCATGGTGGTCAGTGCACATCATAGCAATCAGTTGTTCCGCCACTTAGCTTATTTGCATATTAGCCTTTTATTATATAGGATGATGTCAACTGTCATAAACCCAAGGTCCCATAAACTTTCAAGTGTTATTACTTTAATGTAAAATGCTAATTTAAAAATCAGTTGATGTGGATACCAAATGAAAATATATATTCCTTTCAAATGATAAATTCAAAATCAAGTAGTTTCTATCCACAAATCATCTGAATTTATGATTTCTTTAAAAATGTCACTTCAAAAATTAAAGCAGAAATGTTTGTGTGCTATAGAATATACTTGGCATAAATATGCTATATTATGTCTTTGTGAAATAACTTGCATATGTAAAGTCCTAAAGACTTTGATTCTATCACTCAAAAATCCAGCATCACTTGGTATGTTAACTTAGGAGCCTAACTTATACTCGTTATTTATAAAGTATAATGGGAATTTTCAATTAACCATGGTTAAGTGTACCCACAATTAATCTTGCTTTTCCGTTTAGTTATTGCACCCAGAGTGTGAGCAGGGTAGTTACTTGTTTGGTAGCTCTCTCAGCTCTGTTTACGTTGAATGAAGCCAGGATTCTAGAAAAAGAAATGCTTAAAACTAATTAATTATTCAACTTGGATAGTGGATGAGCAAATGAATAGCTACTATCCTCAGGATTGAATGTGAATAACATCCAGGTATACCACTACCCTGTTCCCCACCTAGGGACTCTGGAAACTTTGGGGGCCACTTAGGTTGCCACAACAATTGGGGAGCCACTTTGGACCACATATGCTAAACATGCTGCTACGTGGGGATCCCACCAAGTACTGCCCCATCCACAATGACAACAGTGTCCCCATTAAGACAGGAACCAAAATTTTCTTGTTCATTATTGTATTTCTAGCCTACTATATAGCAGGCATTAAATAATTATTTGTTGAACAAAGTCAAAACAAGCAACTTCTAGCTTGAGTGAGAGACAATATAAAATAATGAAAAGTGACAAAAGAGAAATTAGACAGTTTTCTACTTTGTCACGAGAGGCCTTTGTGACTGTGCTCATTATGTTTAGGGGACTTCTAGGATCAGATACATCCATCCGAGATATGGAGAAAAGCATAACATTCCACACCCAAATATAAATTATAAGAGGGTTATTTTCATATACACCTTCCTCTATTAGTAAAACTAAGCAATTGTGTCAACTTAAGACATAAACATTGTGCCAACTTAGCTCAATCTTGCCTTGGCAACTGGGTGGCAAAACAGTGTTGCGGTTTTAAAGTCTGGGCTCCGGAATAAGACTGCTGGGTTTAAGTTTGGCTTTACCATGCATTACCTGAGTAATTTACTTAACATCTTAACATACCATTCAAACTCTGGCAATTTACTGAACATCCCCTAGCATCGGTCTTCTCATATATAAAACAGAATAATGAAACAGGTTCACAACACCCTATTCTTAGCCCCTGGGCCAGATATGTCACATGACTTAGAAATGTTTGAATTTTAGAAAGTACTACCAGATATCTTACACCCCAACTGGATCTAGAGCAGCAACCCATAATCACACACATTAACATTTCTATAGCTAAATGAATGAACGTTCAAAGTGTTCAGGTTTGACTAACTCAAAAACCCATGAGTTGTTTTGAGGCTAAATCAGTTTTGCCACAAACTTAAGGAACTGGTGATTTTTTAAAGCCTTTTGAAATTCACAAGTGAATATAAGGAATCATGGGTCTGTAGGACCTACTCCCCTCAGATAATGTGAAGGTTAAGTGAGTATATATAAGGTATTTACTCAGTGCCTCTCACATGGGTAGCACTTAATAAATATTGGTTATCATTATAAAACTAGAGGGCCAGTGCACAAAATTCATGTACTTGGGAGGGGGGGTGTTCCCCAGTCTGGCTTGTGCACTCTCACAGTGCGGGAGCCCCGCGATTGATCTCCCCAAAGAGGTAGGCCCCACCCACCCATCCAGGGCTCCTTGATAGATTGCCCCAAAGAGGTAGGCCAGAGCTGAGGGTCCCACCTCTGCACCACACAGAGCCGCCGGGACCCACCTCCGTGCAGCGCACGTAGTGTCAAGTCCCCGCCTACCCGCGCTCGCCCGCTACGCATGCAGTCTACTGGTGACGAATTGTCACAGCGTGAGGGCATCACAGCGTGAGGGCATCACAGCGTGAGGGCATCACAGCGTGAGGGCATCACAGCGTGAGGGCATCACAGCGTGAGGGCATCACAGCGTGAGGGCACCACAGCGTGAGGGCACCACAGCGTGAGGGCGTGACGACCACATAGGCTTTTATTAGTATAGATTAACAAATGAGATACAAGATAACTATAGTAGTAAGCGGACTTGTGTTAGCTGGGGTAGGAGGAAGGGGTAGGGTAAGTAGTGGTTAGAAGGGAATCTAAGACAATTATGTTAATTAAAATAAAACAAAATGAGAACTGATGGACCCTAAATTGAAATAATGCATGTATCACACTGAACTCTTAAGTAAACACTCACTTCCTTTTAATAAAAGGGAGTTTCTCCAGGAGTTAAGATCTGAAGATGTTTCATATTTTCTATTTTACATGTGGTTTCCTCCTACTTACAACTCTATATAGCTTTCTTCCTAAAAGTGGGTCTGATAATGAAGCTTTTGCTCAAGGTAGGTCCAAAACTGGTTTCTCCTTAATTTAAAAAAGCAATAAATTCTTGTGGACTATAGCAGGATACAGTAAAATTTGAGAAATTAAATAGTAAATGCAAGAAGTATATTGAACCCTATCTCCAATATATGCCCATTTATCTCCTCCCTGTCTACTGGTTTCCTGAACTAAACTTCCAGAGAAACTATAAGACTTAAGGGGGAAATGAAGAGAACTATCACTTATTGGTACTACTCTGTGCCAAGCATTGGATTATGTACTTCACATATATCCCTTATTTAATTTTTACAAGTCTGCAAGGCAACAGTTATTATCCCATATTACATAAGGATATTGAATTAATAAGTGGGTGAACTAAGATTCAAGCTCAGGTTTGACTAACTCGAAAACCCATAAGCTGTTTGCTCTAGAATACTTTGATAAAGGATAGAGCTTTATTCTCACATTCTTGACTGTTAGCTTCCTTTGTATTTGTATAAAGTATTTTTTAAGTGCACATAAGATTAAATTTATATTATCTCTTAGATTAAATGCATTATAGTTCTTTATATAATCCAAAATTTGAAATGCACTTGCAATTTTTATCTTAATTTATCTCTGAAAAAAATAATAAAAGGATATCCATAAATTACATGTATCCTCTTTAGTTATAACAGCATATTCATGTGCATATTGCATTAAGTTTCCAAGCAATTAGCAACACAATTATAGTCAACGAAAGTCAAAGAACTTCAAATTTGAGAGAGATTTTAAAGATAAAATGTATATTTTGTTGAATAACCATTCTGGTCATGAATCTTTTTATGGAGTTTAACCTCCCAAATATCTCTACCATTCCAGAGTTCATTGACTTTTTAGGGGGTGTATTCTTTATGACAAATTAAAATTACTCTTTCTATAATTTAAACTCATTCTATTTCAGCCGGGCTTTTAAGACGATAACAAGTCTCTAACATACCTGTCATTTTGCTACTTTATTGATTTTCACTGCAAGTTTGTAACAAAAAAAAGAGAAATACAAATACATTTGAAAACAGATTTTAAGTTTTCTCCCCTCCTTTCCCCAGACAAAATGAGTAACTACCATGCTTCAATCTTTCCTCACTCTTGTCAATATCCATTTTTGCTGCCCTTTAAAGTGCCTCTCTATGTTCAGAATGAACTGTTGAAAAAAAATAATTGAACATTACCCTATACTACTATTTTAAAACCACTTGTCATTGGCCCTGGTAAAAAGCTAGTATCCTGTATATCCTGTGTACTACGTTAATTCAGTAAATTAACTTAGCTGAAGAGGAACAGAAGTAAAAGAAATGCCAGGTTTAACCCTGTTTCTAACTCTACAGTGCCAGTAAGGAAAAGGTATATAACCTTGATCATCACTTTTAGTAGAATGCAAGAACAAAACTGAGGCATAGATTGCTACTCTAATTTACAGTCTTTGCAAAAATGAAAACAGAATAGTTCTGAAATCCTATCTCCCAATGAAATGCTACTCAAAGGAAAAAAGTCCAAAAGGGACCTGCTCTACAGGTGACCAATAGTCCCAAGGTGGCTCCTGAAGAACTTTTATGACTGGAAAATCAAATTTGAATTATTGAATAATTTGAATATAATTACTTTTATAGTGGATAAGAATGCCAGAGTAAAAGTCACAAGATCTCGGTTCACATGCTAGAATCTCGCTGGGTCTCTGGTTTGCCCATCCATATTATGGAGACAACCCCTACCCTCTAACTGAGCAGCTGGGAAAAGTTAAATAAGATGCTACACACACAAGCCCTGGCCCGTTTGGCTCGGTGGATAGAGCATCGGCCTGCAGACTGAAGGGTCCCAGGTTCAATCCAGGTCAGGGGCACATGCCTGGGTTGCGGGCTTGATCCCCAGTGGGGGGCATGCAGGAGGCAGCCAGTCAATGATTCTCTCTCATCATTGATGTTTCTCTCTCTCTTTCCCTTTTCCTTCCTCTCTGAAATCAATAAAAATATATATTTTTAAAATAGATGTTACACACACAAAATAACTTTGTAAAGTGTGATCTATATAAATGTAAAGTATATGCTATACAATATGTAAAAACAAACATTTTCTTCCCTATCACTCCCCTATACAAGTCAACTACCTTATTTCATATATAATAAAGGATTTTAATGCTATCAAAGTGGATGGTCCAAAAATCATATTAAAAGAAAAAGTGGGATGGATAGACACATATAGAATCGTTCTCTATTGGTTCTTGGAATAATACAAGAGAAGGATTCTACACACACATCTTTTGGTTTTTACTTTACATTTTCTCTAAACTATTTTTAATAAACATTATTTGTAAGCAATTTTAAGAGAACTATACTATGGAAACTTTTTTTTTCTCTCCGGGCCCATACAAGCTTTCACAGTTATTAGGTTCATATGTAAATACTGAGTGATAAGGGAAAAGAATGTCAGATTTATCTGTTTGATACAGACAATTCAAATGGTTTGAGAAATATGATGAAGTTGCAAAATTAATTAGAAAACTATTTGAAAGAGTTGGTATTATATCCCTTTAAATATAGCATGATAAAGATTATTAAAACTATTAAATTATAACTTCTGTATATAAATGCATCATTTTTTGTTATAAATCATGTTACAAATGTCTAAGACACAAAACTGTTCAATTTATCTTTCTTACAACCTTACATCAAAAAAGTATAAAAACTTGGAACACACATCAGGGAATATTTGGTGCACTCTTTGGAGGACTTCTATAAAACAACAGTTTTGAAATGGAGGATATAGCTCCAGTTAATTTTTCTTGAGTCTTGGTTAAGTTTCTTAACCAACAGATTATACATTTATCTTCTCATAGGAACTGAAGACTGAAGAAATGTTAAAATAGCAAAGTTTTATCATCTTAAAAGGACTGGCAATTTCATTTCAACTATGTGGAAAGGTAAAAAGTAATTTGGGTGCAAATATAATCTCAAAGATTAAAGGTGAACAGTTTACATGGACTCAGAATCAATGCTTATCCCTCTGATGCCAGCCCACCCTCACCCCTGCCCCACCCCCTTTTCACCTTTCTTAAGGCCTCTTGTAATGGAAGCAGAAGTTCACACACCAAACTGTAGCACCTTCCTACATAGCCAACCCATTATTGAGTAGAACAATTATGACATCAGCACTATGTTAGCTAATTATTCCACCAAATAAATAAAATCCAATGATCTCCAATACGACCATGTCATTGACTTGATTACATACGGATAGCTGCTGTATTTTACTATCTTTAATTTGAATTCCCTCTGATATAAGCTTGATGTCTGGTAATGTGTGAAACAACTGTGGAAATGCATGTAGCATGTACACTTAACTGACTGCCATTTTAGACTGCCAAACCCATGCATCATGGGTACCAAAGAGATGGGAAAAGACTAACAAAGGGTCTGATATTTGTTTTCTCATTAAATGAGCCTGAGTAGTGCCTAGAAATTTCCCATTATAGGAGCCTCAATGCTCTTTCTTAACTATTTCCCTATAAATTATGCGTGCTAGCCACTACTTTTCAACGCAGCATGCCATTAATCCTACTTGGGACAGGTTAGGGAGGAGGGTAGGAAGGAGGAGTTCTCTTGTGGTTTCTAAGTCCCACAGAAAGCTAAGTTATTCAACGCTTTTAAAAATAATAACTGTAACTACATAACAAAGTGAAGAACACTCTAATACTGCTTTTTTCTTAAACATATATAAATTCTAAAAGAAAATTCCTCACACTATTAACTACTACTGACCATCAGGAAAGGAAAACCTATCTTAAAACAAAATCCTCAAAAAGAACTTGGTAATTAAAATCGTATATGTAAAATGTTACTGAAAAATTCAAACATAAGATCTTATCTGACATGTTAAAATACTCTAAATGTTGCATACATATAGTTTAAAATTTATAGAGAACATGTGATCAATTACCTCATATTCTTTCCATGAGCCAAACTCAATGTATTCTCTACCATAAAATGCCAGAATGATCAAGTGGCCTAAAATATTAAAAGCAAGAAGAATAAGGTAAATATTAAAAATAAATTATTTAAAATCTAGATGCTGTTATTTATTTAGTTTATGAATAAATATTGTGATATAACAATTATTTTTTCATTATTTCTCAATTAGGTGACATACAATATTACATTAGTTTCAGGTATAAAACATAGACATTAGACATTCATATAACTTATGAAGTGATCACTCCAATAAGTCCAGGAATTGATCTGATACTACAACTGAATTATATTTAAGGTATTTTTTTACATGGCTATATTTTTAAAAGCTTCCTCCTTAGCCAAAAATGATATTGTTTTGATTTTACAAGGAAGGAAAGAGAACTTTCAAAGAATAAGCATACTATTCTAATAATCAAGAAAAATATGTTAGGACAAATAATACAGAGAACAATCCTAGAAAAATCTGTACCATTAAATATTGATTTTTGTTGTTGTTGTTAACCCTCACCAGAGGATATTTTTCCATTGATTTTTTTTTAGAGAGAATGGATAGGAGGGGAAGAGACAGTGAGAGAGAAGCATCCATGTGAGAGAGACACATTGATTAGTTGCCTCCCATTCGCACCCTGGCCAGGGCCTGGGATGGAGCCTGCAACCGAGGTATGTGCCCTTGACCGGATTTGACTCAAACTCAGTACCCTTTAGTTTGTGGATCAACACTCTATCCACTGAGCCAAACCAACTAGAGAGAAAAAAACAACAACTGTCCTTTTAAGTGGTAAAGATGAAAGACCAAACAATTCTGAGAATCAGCCTGCTAATTTCTTGTATACAGCGATGTAAAAGTGAAAATGGATTAGCAGCTGACACACCTTTACTCATTCCTTTTTAAAATAAATAAGATTTGGTTCTTAAAAATAAATAAGTAAAGATACATAAGCAGGTCACAAAGGTCAGGAAACTAGTAAGACATGCATAATTATTCAGTTTTATGAAAATTTTTAAAAGAAGTCTTTGGTTCAGGAGAGAACAGGCAAGGCTATTTTAAACTAAATATTTTTATTAGGTGATAAAGTAAATTTAGGGTAACTGCTATACAAACAGGAACTTAAGTGTATTTGTTTATACATATTATATCTTTTTTTGCCCTAAATATGTCCCATAATATCAGAAATCAATTTAGTAGAGTATATCTGATCCTTTAGTCAATCATAAACAGCATAATAGCTATCTGGCATGATTTAGTTTTACTTGTTTTTCTTTTTTCTTTAAAGGTAAAGATGACACTAAGCAACAGTTGCCATCAATTTTTATGCTGGTCCATTAAACTTAGAGAAATAACAAAGCAAACAGGTACAGCTCAATATATATGAACAGGCAACAGTCTAAATACACATATTTGAGGTTACTTGAACAAGACAAGACAAAGATCACTACAATAATCATAGGAGTTTGCTGCATACAGCAAAAATGCAATAATCTACTAGTTAACACACCAGAATTCTCAAAAAGAATTTGGTAATTTTAACCCTATTATCAAATGGTCCTGTTACTTTACTGTCATTATGAAATATTACATATTTTTCTGATGTGAGATATTATTATTGTACATATTTATTATACACTAAATGACTAAACAATACTTCAGAACAACTTTGAGCAAAATGACTATGAATTATACATACCTATTTCTAAGAAAATTCTACCTACCCCTTTAATTCTAATTCTTTTCTCCAACTTAAGCTCCCCTGTATTTAACTTTTTATGTGAATATCAAGTTAGAAAATTCAAGCTAATATACAGTTATCCGCATCTTCTACTCCCCTCCAAACAAGTTACAATACCTGCTTTGACTACATCCTTTACTACCTCATTCTGATACTAACAGAATTGCTCAAGAACTCTTTTCTTGATATCTTACAAGTTCCTTAGCCACCATACCAGTTCACTGATGATACAAATTTGTCTTTGTCACTTATCACTTTAACCTTAAAATCCAACTCATTTCTTAAAGCCTGTTCTCATATATTATTAAGTTATTCATTTAAGAATCACAACTATGTTAAGTACCACACATACCGTACAAATATTAAATATACATGGTGCAAACGCTCCATGGGTAGCTCACACACTACCATGCCAATTCACAAGATGGTCTCTCCCTCAAAGCTCCACATTGGCCCCAGGAGAACTTATTTTCCTCATTTCTTCCTATATGCTACAATGATTTTTTTCTCACATCTCTGGCACAGCTATTCGAAGTATCTTCATCTTGCCCTTTAACATTTATTGCATCACTGCAATGTGCTTGGCAATGTGCTCTCAGTTGATTAGGATAAAATGGTAAATAAAACACAGTTATTTTGCATTCGGGTCCCACCTCATCTGCTCCCACATATTGTCCTAACTTTCTCAGTGGCTTTATCATTCTCCTGGAACCCAGTGATCTTTCACTTTTCCACCATCATTTTCTCATACTTCATAACTAATAGTAAACAAGTCCTGTTGAATTGGTACTCATGTCAGATGATCCATTTCAGCACCACCCTGAGACCTAGGCGAAAGGGGCCATTGCCCAGGGCCTGGCACTATAGAGAACCCACTTTGGCCCACTGGTCAGGTACTTCCTCATGCAGTGAAAAGTCTGCACAGCCCAGGGCCATGCTCTCTGACTCCTCTGCAATCTACCTCAGCAGACTCCCAGTACCCTGAATTCCCATGCAAAGCCCTGAACTATCAATCCTAGGGAAGATGGAGATGGAGGCATTAAGAGTAGTCAAGAGATAGCTTGTAACAGGTGAGGCAAGGTTGCTTGTGGAGTGAGCATGTGGACATGCCATGGCAAAGAGCCTTGGGTACAGGGAAAGGGAGGTACACTGCAGGGCACAGAGGTGTTGACAGAAAGCCATTTCCCTTTGCCACTATGTTCTACAACAGAACTGAAAAACCTGAGAATACTAAATGGTCATCCAACACATTTAAATCTGTGCTTGTCAAATTAGGAGAAAAACGGTATCTTAACAATTAGTTGATTTACAACATTTACGTATGTAAAAATACCATGTTTCCATTTGTATCCTTTATATCCATTAGTGAATGGAATAGGCCTATTTGCAATGAAGGTTCCCCAGCTCCAATCTTTATTATAACTGCAATCTATCAAATAATGATGTAATAGTAGCAGAGTAGCAGTAGTAAAAGTAGCATTGATAATACCTCTCACTGAAGGTCCTAGCACAATACCAAGCATTTAATCTATACTAAACTCTTTCATACCCCTTTTGTTACTTACAATCCCAATGGCTAGTTATGCACATCTTATCTATAAATGGAAAGAACAAGTGGCAAAATTAGAATTCTAACCATGGTGTTTATGAACTAAAAGCCCAAGTTTGCCCTAGCCCATTTGGCTCAGTGGATAGAACATCGGTCTGTGGAATGAAGGGCCCCAAGTTCGGTTCCAGTCAAGGGCACGTACCTCAGTTGCAGGATCCTCCCCAGCCCAGGCCCTGGCCAGGCACATGCAGGAGGCAACCAATCGATGTATTTCCCTCATATCGATATTTCTGTCTTTCCCTCTCTCTTCCACTCTCTCTAAAAATCAATGGAAAAACACCCTTGGGTGAGGATTAAAATAAATAAATAAATAAATTAATTAATTAATTGCCCAGGTTCTTCATCCTATACTTCCTTTCAGATGACCCAGAGAGGTTTACCTGGCTTTACTTATTTATTTTTTTGAAAAATTTTAAAATGTTTTTGCTGATTTTATTTTTAAAAATTTATCTTTATTGTGGAAAGTATTACAGATACCCCCTTTTTCCCCCATTGACCACCTCTACCCAGCACCCGCCCTAGATCTACTCCCTGCCAATCTTTACAGATCTGCCAGATTAATCTCCTGAAAGCATCACTTTCATCTTCACACTTGATCCACTTTAAAAATATATACTGTCTGATTATGCTCTATCCAGTTAAATTTCAAATCCTTAGCCTGATTTTCTTTCCACTCCATCTGCTTCATTATTTCTCAACAAACTCTTCAAACTCTTCACACTAAAATCTACCTCTAACATGTGCTTAACCCCTTCCTCACAGACTTATACACCACTCAGTCTTCAAGATCCACCTCATGTACTACACCTCCTCCAGGAAGACTTCTCTAACTACTCATGCCCAGAATCTTCTCGCCCCATTTTTTATTTACACGTAATACTAGTAGTTTCTAAGCATTCAGCAAGTAATTAAGCTATGCAGAGAGATTATTTATGAAGTTAATGTATGAATCTTCACTGAGCTGGACATAATATTCAATTAAGTAAAAAAGGTAAAATTATATTCTACATTTTTACAAGTGGACAATTTCACCATATGTACAAGATGATAAGTCAGCGTTACATATTCATTGATGTCAAGAAAAAACATTTTATCAGAATCTATATATATAAAAGGCTAATATGCAAAGCATCCCCTCAAGAGTTCAACTGGGAAACCAGGAGTTTGATCGCTCGCTATGACGTGTGCTGACCCCCAGGGGGCAGCGCGGAACATGGTGGGTGATGAGCTGTGGTGGCAGGGCGCTGAGGGAGCAAGGGAAGGAGGCGGCAGGAAGGCAGGGAGGCGGGGAACCTGATCAGCCCTAATCGCCCAGCTAGGCCTAGAGACCCTACCCGAACATGACTTTCGTGCACTGGGCCTCTAGTAGAATAATATTTTGTCTAACTCTGAAGTTTAAAACTTCCCAAATTTAATGTTTTAGGCAATATTTAATTCATCAAAATTATATTATGGAACATTTTAACAATATAAGTACACAAGTATTAATCAAGAAAAAAATAATTATTTTAAAACTTACAAAATTACTGGTAACAGACAGTGGTTTTACTGGAAAAACTGTATCTGTGTAACATTAAGAGCTAATTTCCCTTGGCTCTAATTTCACTGTGGTTTGGTATACTACTCACTGTTAAAATATCAAGGCGACATTGAGCATGTTCTGTACCTCTTCGTTAAGCTCAGGTTGGCATTACCTTCCT